TTCTTCTCAAGAACCACTGTGCTTGAAAATATGAAACTTATATGGAAGCATCCTCAGGCAGTGTAGATTCAAGTTTGTTCCAATCTTGATCCCCGGGGTAGGATGGGGCCACAATGGGCGATCAATGTTTTACATAGGAATATATAGGAAAACTCTTTAAAAATTGTCTTCTCAAGAACAGCAAAGCCATGATTGGGTTATTCATATGGTAGCATTCTCAGGAAGTATAGATTCAAGTTTGTTCAAATCATGACCCCCGGGGGTAGGGTGGGGCCACAATGGGCGATCAAAGTTTTAAATAAGAATACATAGGAAAGATCTTTAAAAATCTTCTTCTCAAGAGCAGCAAAGTCATGATTGGTTTTATTCATATGGAAGCATCCTCAAGTAGTGTAGGTTCAAGTTTGTTCCAATCATGACCCCTGGGGTAGGGTGGGGCCACAATGGGCGATCAAAGTTTTACATATAATACATAGGAAAAATTTTAAAAATCTTCTTCTCAAGAACAGCAAAGCCATGATTGTTCATTTTTATGTGGGTGCATCCTCAGGAAGTGAAGATTCAAGTTTGCTCAAATCATGACCCCCCAAGGGGTAGGGGGCAGTATGGGCGATCAGAGTTTTACTTAGGAATATATAGGAAAAAGCAAGCCCTTTAAAATCTTCTTCTCAAGAACAGCAAAGCCATAATTAGTCATATTTAAATGGAAGCATCCTCGAGTAATGTAGATTCAAATTTTGTTCAAATCATGACGCCCAGGAGAATAGAGGGGCCATAACAGGGGATCATAGTTATACAAAAGAATACAAATGTTATATCAATAAAAATTGTCTTCTTAAGAACAGCATAGCCATTATTTATCATACTAATTCAAAGGCATCCCTTTGAAGTATAGATTAAAGTTCAAATCAACCCTCCCCCCGCGAACCACTTTTATATCAAAACTTTTCAAGAATAAACTGATTTCTGCTTTTTCCTAGCCAGAGTGCTCAGGTGCAAACGTTAATAGATAGTGCAGAGCATGGGATAAGAATCAGCAGCCTACCCATTTATTGTCTTATGTAGGAATGTATAGGAAAAAATCTGAAGAACTACCAAAACATGATTATTTGAATGAATATGCAAGATCCATTTAGTTGTGCAATTTAAGTCTTTTAATGATGGTTCCAGGAAAAAAGGCTGTAGTGAGGAAAATATGGTAATTAAAACTTTGTACGAATAGACAGGACAATATTTTTATTTAAAAAACCTTCCCTTCCGAAAAGTACGAAAAGTAGGGCCAATCTAATTGGTGTGTGCATTATTGCTCGTAGGTTTGAGATTTCTTATTTAAATAAAGATTAGTAAACAATTAGACTACATTAAGGTGCATGACATGGTTAAAGCTTAACTAACTCAAGTTAGATTAGTTTACATATCTGCAATATTGGAACAGAAATATACCTTCACGGTTACAATTATTCATGTTTACTTGTTCTACCTTCACAAACCGATCACGGAAGTTCAGTGGGTAGAACGCTTGCTCTGTGATCGGGAGGTCGTGAGTTCGAATCTCAGCCGCGATTGACCTAAGTCGATAAAAACTGGGTAGCAATTGTTCCTTCGCCATGCGCTCGGCACTTTGAAGTGAAAGTTGCGGGTCCTTCGGATGAGACCTTAAAAACCGAGACCCCGTGTCACGGCAGGTGTTGGCACGATAAAGATCCCTTACTGCTCAATGGCCGTGAGTGCCGAGTAAAGGTCAAAATTTGAAGCCCTTCACCGGTATATGGTGACGTCTCTATATGAATGGAAAATTCTCGAATGGGACGTAAAATAACACACTATCAATCAATCAATCTATCTTCACTATCTGAAGTTCAAACAGTGTCAGAGCTACAGTCGTGTGAGAGATTTTTTTTTTTAAAATTTTGATTATAGTTGGCATACCAGTCCAGGTTATAATGAGGGGAGATGAGTCAGTGAGGAATTTTATGGATAACTTGAAGAAAGGGGAGACAACAATGTACCATGCATCTGGGATGATCATTGGATGTGCGGGTAGCGGGAAGTCAACCCTGCTAAAGAGACTGAAGGGCATTGACCTAAAAGAAATTTTGGAAAGTTCTAAGTCAACCAGAGGAATAGATGTCCAGGCTGACATATTTGATGTAACTGGAAATACAATAAAAGGTGTGGTTTCTTATTAAATAAGATCAGATCAAGTTTTCAAATAATATTTTTCACAATAAAAACAGTCTAAAAGCCTGTGTCTCAATCAAGTCACACCATTCTAAGCTATCTTGCTTAGAATAATGTGCCTTGATTGTAACACATAATATTATTTTGTCAAACGAACAGTTACACTACAAAAAATAGAAAAAATAAATAAACAAATAAATAAATAAAAACTGTAGGATTCATGTCTGGATTATAATGAAAAAAGAAACATAAGGAAAATTAGCTCAAAATTGACTTAAAGATTGGTTATGGCATGTTCATGTATGTGTGATTCTGATAAAAGACCATAATATCAAGTGTAAGTAAAAGATTAAAGATTAGGTCACTCAGTTGACTATTGCTATATGTTTTTTGTCCGTTGTTGCGTGTTGTCCGTCGTCCGTTAACTTTGATCATTTTCAACTTTTTCTCTAGAACCGCTAAACCAATTTCAACCAATTTTGGCATATATCATCTTTGGGTGAAGGGGAACAAAAATCGTGAATTTCTTGGTCCCTGCCCCCCTGGGGCCCCAGGGTTCGGGCTTAAACCTCCAAAATTGATGTAATCTTTAAAAATCTTCTTCTTTACTGCTGGACATCAAGCAGTCAAATTGTTGGCACGATTGTAATAAGCAATGGGCCCTCTTCCAAAATTATAAAATTCATGGCCCCTCGTATATAGTGAAAATGCATTAATTCTTTTAATATCTTCTTTTCTGCTCCTGGGTATCATTTAATCAAACTAATTTCATGGTTATGATAAGCATTGATTCTTTTTTCCAAAATTGTAAAATTCATGGCCCTTGGGTTAAGGGTTCTGGTGTTAGGGCGGGGCTCTATTGATTATATTGTGAAAATGCATTAATTCTTTGAAAATCGTTCTCTTTGTTCCTGGGTATTATTCAAACAAATTAAGTGCATGGTTATGATAAGCATTGATGCCTTTTCCAAAATTGTGAAATTCATGGCCTCAGGGTTGGGGAAAAGGGGGGGGGGGTCTATTGATTATATAGTGAAAAGCATAATTTCTTTGAAAATATTCTTTTCTGCTCCTGGTTATAAAGCAAAGAAACTAAGTATATAGTTATGATGAACAAAAATGCTTTTTTCCAGAATTGTGAGTTTCATGGCCCCTAAGTCAGATGCTCTGGTGTAAGAGTGGGACTCTATTGATAATATAGTGTAAATGCATTAATTCTGTTATTAAATAATCCTGCCTTCTCCTTAATGTCGAGTAGATAAACAAAGTGCATAGTTATGATGAACAATTGTGCTTCTTACAAAATTTTTAAAATTTGTGGTCCCCAGGTTTTGGTGTTTTTCGGGGCCATTGGGGGTGGGGGGGTGGGTGCTATATTGATAATAAAGTGAAAATTTGTTAATTCTTTGAAAATCTTCAACTTAGTGTATAGTTATGATCATGAGGGTACCTCTACCAATTTGTGAATTTCATGACCCTGGACATGGGTTTTAGTGTTAGGGTATGGCTGTTTGAATCTATACTGAAAATGTATTATTTCTTTGAAAACCCTTTCTGCTCCTTGGCATATCAAAGGCAAACCGAATAAAAGTTTTAATAAGCAAGGATATTTTTACCAGATTTCTGAACATCTGGACCATTTAGTTGAGTGTACTGGTCCTGACCAGAGCTCTATTAATTTGAATTCTGCTGAGAGAAGTTATTCCCCTTTGCCATTCACTTTTGATAATTAAACACCGTAAATAATGTATTTGAAAGACTAATAGAATAAGAGAATTATGCCAAAAAATTTGTTGTATAGTACTAAAAGTACATAATTTTAATGACCAGGTAGACATGTAAATAATAAACAAATAAAAATGAGACAAAAATAACTCAATAAATGTTCTTCAAAGACCAAGAGAAGCCAATGTAAGAGATCACAATATGGGGTTAAAAGTAGTACAGAAGAACGAATAGTTTGTTGATAGTCTAAATGGTAATAGTGCTAAATGGGAGATAGAATAGAATTTATGTACGAGTTGTTACTGAATAATAGATTAATTATTTCATTGATCCTGATCATCCTATTGCTCTTGCTTTGGGGTACCAAAGCTTCATCTATCAGTTAATTTTATACTCTATTGATCCTCTAAATTTTTGTTTTATGCTCAGTTGACCGTTAAGGCCCTTGAGTCTCTTGTGTAATTTCATGACCAAAAAACTGGATGTCCATTCTTGACAAAGATTTCAAATAAGCTGAATCTCGACCTTGTAAATTGAACCAAGGTCATTGAAATTATGTACAAACTTAAATAAGTTTTTAGTTCAAGTATTTGTGTGTGTGTCAGTGTCGGGGGGTGGGGAGGGGGGCATGTCACAATGAGAGAAAGCTGACTCAATAAGCATTGTGGACTATGGGACTGAATAGTTATGTACTTTATTTAATGAACTGGATTAGCTGAGCTAGTGATGTTCACAACATATGTTTGGAATAAAGGACTAAATATTATGATTTTACGTAAAAATTAAATATTGGTATTTTGGTTTTGTAGTAAACTCGTCAAACCAAAAACAACGCTTCAAAGTTAAAATAAATGAAAAATTAGATGAATCAAGCCAAGAAAAAAGTATTCCAGAACAGGCTGGAGAATTATCTGGTGACATAAAAAAGTTGGACGTTGAAAAGGCAGGGGATAAGAATGATACAGCCAGTAAAGCAAACAATGAAGAATCCGTTAGTGAAGAAATGTCACGGGGGTATTTGGGTACAGAATCTGACTCACTTAAAGTAAATGATGTCGCCCTCTCTGTGAAAAAAGAAAGGGTAATAGTTCAAGACAGACTAAGTATTCCTGAGAATTCAGAAATATCAGGAATTTTACGAGTTTCCAAAGATGTTTCGGATGACCCAGAAAAAAAAATTACCATGGTGGACTTTGCAGGACAGTGTTCATATTATGCCTCACATCAGATTTTTCTGAGTCCACGAGCATTCTTCATTCTGGTGCTCAATATGGATAAGAAGTTTGATGATAAGGTTGGAGAAGAAGTCTGTAGTCAGGAAGGCTCCATTTACAAGGGATGGACACACAGAGGTTTGTTATTGTTACATAATGGTGTATATTAGTTATCTAGTAAAAATTGAAGCAAATTCAATATACAACTAGATGCTGTCATGAGACAGTAATACCCGCACTACTGTGTTTGCCTCTAAATGCAGGCACATAGCATCATTTTTTGAAACATAACTTTTTACTATTGAAAATGTTCTTGAACGAGTGGTTCCCCCCCCCCCCCACTTTTTGTTGCATTATAGTCAAATAAAGGTAATGTAGTAGTGTATATATAAAATTGGAGTACTGAAAGAAGTTGGAATCCACCCCCACCCCCCACCCACCCCACGAAATAGGATTTTTGAGTTTTGAAAAAAAATTTTTTGACTTCTCAAATTTTTTCAGGTAAGTTGAATTTTCTTTCTCTGGCTATCCCCCCTCCACTTCCAAAAACGTTGCTACGTCCCTGAAATGTGCTCTGACTGCTCTCCTTCAAATTCTGGTAACCAGGGAAGAAGCACACATTTAAATCAAGCATAAAATGCTCAGGTGAACATGCAGCCCATATGGGCCTCTTATGTAAATCAGGTGTGGATCCAGGAATTTTTTCCAGGGGAATCCAACCCAAAAATTTCTATTTCCTGGTGCTTGTGGTGGTGGTGGGAAAGGGGGGGGGGGTGGATGGGGTGGGGGTGGGGTGGCCGCTCACTTTTTAAGCTTCATAAGTATAACTTTTCAACTTAACAGAGGTCCGTGTTTTCTAAGGGGGGGGGGTTCCAAGGTCACTTTTAGTTGCTTTCGTATATAGATTTCGTGTATAGCTTCCGGACCCCCTCCCCCCCTCTAGATCCGCGCATGTAAATATTTCATTACCAGTCTGATATTACCTAAAAATGTAAATTCTGATAAAGAGAGAATTTTTGAAAGATTTGTGTAAAAAAAGGGGGTGGTTAATTTTCTACCCATAATTGGAACTTGTTGAATTTATTGTCAAAACAACAAATATTATTATTTTAGTGCATAGTTTTTTTGATGAAATTTAAAAAAAAATAGATGCCAACTTGTGTTTGTTTGTTTGTATGTTGTTTAACGTCCCTCTCGAGAATTTTTCACTCAAATGGATGCCAACTTGTGCAAATTTTTATCAGAATTTGGGTAGGACTCGGAAAACCACTTTCCAAATCTTGACCCAATCAACTTTGTAAAAAATCAACCCCACCCACGATTCACCCGTTTTCCTGTCATATTTAGAATAGATAACACAAACTTATGAAAAAAAATGTATGTAATTATAATATAAATTTTACAAATGTAGGCTACACCTTTTTGGAAAATTTCTAGACTCGTGTGTGGAATTACGTCACACTGCGAGCACTACTTTTACCATTATCATTATTTTTTTTGCACATGGTGTATTTACATCATTATTACCACTGGGATTATTAATATTTAGTGTGTGTTTTAAATGGATTTATTATTCTGTCAAGTTAACAGTACCTATAACAGGCGGTAAGTACTGTATTATGAATATATTATTTTAAACGTTTAGTATAGAACGGGGTTTGTTTGTTGTTTAACGTCCTTCTCGAGAATTTTTCACTTATATGGAGACGCCACCACTTGCCAGTGGAGGGCTGCAAATTTTAACCTATGGTCGACACTGGTCTCCACGTCCCGCAGTGGATTCGAACCCGCGACTTAAGGATCAACTCCTTACTCCACGACTCTAGAGCAGACCTTCTAACCACTGCGCCTCACGGGCGACTAGAACGGGGTAAAATAATCGGAAATGAAAATAGTTAGGGGCCTATAGTTGGGGTCAAAGATCATTGGAATGCCAAAATTACACAAATTATACAACGAGGCAAGTCCCTGGGGTCATTCCACTCGATCTTTGGAACCGGAAACAATAAAATAGCTTTCATTAAAGCAAAAGCCCCTAAGTCATCTTTGTATTATAACACACTAAATAGGATATATGGCGTCATGACCCCCCAGAGGTCATTCCCAACCCCTAAAACTTGAAACAAATGATCATATACATTGTATCTTGAAAATGGTTGAAAACTCTCCCCTTAACCATATATAATATTGTCCCTCGAGTCATTATGCATTAAATGGTATAAAGGTTATGACCCCTTGAAGTCATCCTCATCCTGAAACTGGAAATGATCACAATATGACCTGCGTCAAAAGTGTGTTAGTGATAATCTGCTTGACATTTTATTCATGACCCCCTAGGGTCAGTCCACTCTCCTAGAAGTAGAAAATGAAAATCATTCAGAGACCCGCCATTATACTTTGTGTACATATACATTTTTGTATTATTCACAATTTATTTTATACCAAAACAAGTTATAAATAATTTGTGCAAATAAATGAGCCTGGGGCTGGGAAGGAAGAAAAGGGGAAGGAGTTATGTCTGGATGGTCTTAAATGTTGAAAAGTCCTAAAATTTGTGAATATTAACCTGGTCATTTCCCACTTGTCATCATTATTTACTGATCTTCTCACAACATACATGTGTCTTTATTAAATTAATAGATCATGGACTTTTTTGGTCATATGCCTAGCTCTCCCTTGAATCAGGAATGGTGATATAAATATTTTAAGAATGATTAAGAATTAAAACAGGTCTTGCACAATCTCTTAAAATTGATTAAGCTCTGTAGTTGAATTAGCTATACTGGTATAGCTTGGTTTTGCTATTCAAAACACTTTGATTTAGCTATTTAATCATACTTTTCTTTAATGTACATTTTTATCAATATAGATAAAGTTGCACTATGGTGACATGGATATAAATTTTAAATTTTCAGCTTTGAGTTTTCTGAAAACAATGCATGGAGGAAAATTGCATTTCAAAAATCGTCTCCTGAGAATTTGCTATCACAGATTTTTATATTTTGCATGGGGCTATATACCTCTCTATATACCTCTCTCTCTCTCTCTCTCTCTCTCTCTCTAACATCTACTTGAATCAAAATTAAAGTGGAATTATAAGACAATTTGTTTAATTGATTACTTTTTAGGATTTTACACCATAAATTCATACTGCAGCAAGAATGTTATCCCTCCCAGAAAAAAATAAATTTACTCACTATCTTGTCTTTGATCTATATCTATAATTACAAAAGGACACAGCCAGAAGTCTTTTAACGTGGTTTGTTACAAATTTCACTTGGAACTCCTATTAATTTGCTCAAGATCAGTATTTTCAGAAATGAACTTGATCAATTATGCTTGAAAAGTACTCACTGTGAACAATGGATCACTTGACTTGTTGAAGACAGGTAAACATACCTCTCAGGGTATAATTATCATACAAAGGCCTGAATAAAATTGAAGTCATAATTAAATCATCATTATCTTAGTTAAAATAAGAAGAAACACACAAGAGGTGTGATGAAATATTTAGAAACACAAAGAGTTTTGTTTCTCATGCAAAATATTCTTTCTTGTGTAAAACAATTGTTCAAATGAAGGGCCAAACCTTCTTTTAAGGGAGATAAGAATGAGTGAAAATTTAATGTTATTTCAAAAATCTTCTGAAGAACCACTGGGCCAGAAAAGTTTAAAATTATGTGAAACTTCATTACTTTGTGTAGATTCAACTTTGTCCAAATCCTGACCTTCAGGGGTAGGGTGCGGCCACAATAGGGGATCAAAGTTTTGTAAACATGGGAATGTACAGTAAAACACGCTTATAACAAAGTGCATGGAGCGGACGATTTTGCTTTGTTATAAGTGTAATTGCTTATATCCATTAAGTTTACAATATATTTTAAAGTCACTTGGAATGAAAATCGCTTTGCTATAAGTTTCAATTCATTATAGGCTTGTTTGGCTATAAGTATGCTTTACTGCATAAGAAAAAAATTCCTTTTCAAGAACCACTAGGCAAGAAAAGTTGAATCTTATGTGAAAGTTTCATTACATAATGTAGAAACAAATTTGTTCTTTCAAAACTACGCCTCCTACAGGTTTGGTGCAACAAGTAGACTTTACTAGTCTACATATTGTTTTTGTCAGTTTTCTTCTTCAATCAAATTTTGTCCGAGCCTTAACTTGACATTACCCTTTGACATTAAGACTTAAAAATTGAAACATGGAGATGTGGTATGGAATTGGGGTTGAGGCCACCAAACTCTTTTTACCTTGACCTTTTGATAAGGTCAAGGTCAATCTTTACATAAAAATATAGTCCAGGCTACATGTATAACCTGAGAACCCTTTGATATAAGAATTTCAAATTTGTAACATAGAAAAAAGACATTTTCAAAAGATGCACTGCACTAAAATGTTGACCTTGACTCCTTTCTTCATTCAAGGTCAAATTGAGAAAAACACCTCCAAACCATAACTTAAGAACCTTTTGACATTAAAACTTCAATCTTGGAACATGGAGAGGTGGTATGGAGAAAGGGTGCATGCAAACAAATTTTTTTACCTTGTTTTTATGCCCCACTATTAATATGGCCGGTGCATATAGTGTTTGTGATGTCCGTCTTCCGTCCTTTCATCCTTCCGTCTGTCTTTCCGTCACGCTTTGCGTTTAGCTCTGTTCAAAGCTCAGTTTCAAAGAAACTGTCAAAGATATTTTTTATCAAACTTCATATGCTGATAGATATTGATGAGAGCTATGTAACTGCATCAACATTTGTTGACCTTGACCTTTCCGTTGACCTTGACCTCACTTTTCTTAAATTAGTGTTTAGCTCAGTATTAAAGATACCATTCAAGATAGTGTAATTAAACTTCTTATGTTGATACATACTGATGTAGGCTATTCAACTGCTTCAACATTTTTTGACCTTTACCTTTCCTTTGACTTTGACCGCACTTTTCTTAAATTAGTGTTTAGCTCAGTTTTAATGAAATCATTCAAGATATTTTTATCAAACTTCATATGTTAATACATAGTTACATACTGATGAGAGCTATTGAACTGCATCAATATTTTTTGACATTGACCTTTCCTTTGATCTTGACCTTACTTTTCTTAAATTAGTGTTTAGCTCAGTTTGAATGAAATCATTCAA